GATGAAGCGGCCGCTGCTGATGGGAAACGCCGGCTGTGAAAACACACCAGCCGACTCCCAGCTCACCGTCAGCCTGCTGGACATCCTGCCTGATGTGGAGAAGGTAGCGTGTGTGTGTGTGTGTGTTTGTGTGTGTGTGTGTGTGTGTGTGTGTGTGTGTGTGTGTGTGTGTGTGTGTGTGTGTGTGTGTGTGTGTGTGTGTGTGTGTGTGTGTGTGTGTGTGTGTGTGTGTGTGTGTTTGTGTGTGTGCTGGTCTATTGGGTTTATGAAGACATGTATAATGGTTATGATATACACTAGCTGACACAAGTCTTGTGCTGGATCCTCGAGCTGTAAGAGCAGCAGATACTATCGGGTCTTCTAGTTGATGTGTAAAAGTGTCTGAGGTGTGTTTCTCTGCTGGATCATCTGCTGATCTGCATCAATCATCACCAATACTGCAGAAGACCTACTGGAACCAGCATGAAGCAAGATTCTCACAGAAATCAGTCAAGTTTGGTGAAGGAGAAGTCATGGTTTGGGGGTCATTCAGTATGGAGAGATCTGCAACATCAACAGCCTGAGGTATCAAGACATCTGTGCTGCCCATTACATTACAAACCACAGGAGAGGGACAATTCTCCAGCAGGATAGCGCTCCTGCTCATACTTCAGCCTCCACATCAAAGCTCCTGAAGGTCAAGCTGCTCCAGGATTGGCCAGCCCAGCCACCATACATGAACATTATTAAGCTGATGAAGGAGGAGGTGTTGAAGATGAACACAAAGACTCTTGATGAGCTCTGGGATCCTGCTGAAGCTTTCTTCTTCATTCCAGATGACTTTATTAATCAGTGATGTGAGTCATGTCAGAGATGTATGGATGCAGTCCTCCAAGCTCATGATGGAGTCAGACACAATATTCATTCTGTCTCCACTGCAGCAGGACTTTATATTCTATACTGGACATTATTTCTGTTCAGTGATGACACTTTAGTCTGAGCAGAGTCAGAGCGCACTGTCCTCATCAAATCAGTCAACATCAAGACATGATCAGATTTATTGAGCTCAAATCAGCAAAATCTAGAGGCCTTCACCTTTCATAGAGACACTTCTGACACCAGATCAGCAACTAGAAGAGCAGATATTATCTGTGTTCCTAAAACATGGAGAGGACACAAGACTAGGTATGAATGAAAAAATGGAGGTGGTTTATGAGGACATGTATGGTGTCCTCATAATTCAAAATGCTTTTAATAATCATATTTAATCAGTGTTTTTCACATTAATAAATATCTACAGGGTTGCTGTGAGGGTTGGGTTTAGGGGTGGGAGAGGGACATGTAAAGTGTTTTTACTGTATAAAATGCATTACGCTTGTGGAGAGTCCTCATAAACCACCAGCTGACTTCTGACTGACTTCAGCTGTATATATACATGTGTATATATATGTGTGTGTGTCCTCATCTGTAAATATGTGTGTGTGTGTGTGTGTGTTCATCAGGCAAGTCTGAAGAAGCTGCTGGACCACCTGAAGCGTGTGGCGTCTCATCACGAGCTCAACAAGATGCCGTGTCAGAATCTGGCGGTGTGTTTCGGGCCGGTTCTGCTGAGTCAGCGGCAGGAGGCGTCCAGTCAGGCCAAGCGCGTCTTCATCGACTCTGAGGAGCTGGCCAGCGCTCTGCACTTCAAGAAGCACATCGAGGTGCTGCACTACCTGCTGCAGCTGTGGCCAGGTCAGCTTCATCACCACCATCATCATCATCATTATTATCATCAGTCATTATCATCATCATCTCAGCAGACCAGATTCTTATTTACAGGGTTCATACGAGCTGCTTAAAGTGCTTGAAATAGGCTTTCAGAAATTCAAGGCCTGGAATACCTGGAAAGCTGGCTTGCTTAGTTAAAAAGGGCTTAAAATTAACGAGGTTTTGTATGCAATTATCAGAAAAAAGTGTCTCTATGGTCTTAAAAAGTATGTGGTAGTTTTGCCTGTGCTGTTTAATTAAAGATTAATTTTCATGAAAGGAGAAATCGACCAGTATTATTGTTAGTGTAAATTCCTATATGTAGCCCTGTGATTTAAGCAATTAAACCATTTAAATAAGTTTATACTTAAAAAAGGTCATAATGAAAATCTAATTTTTTTTCAAAGTAACTAACTAGTACTCAGAGTATTTTTTTTTAGTATTAGTATTATTTACAAAAATTTGTATTATTATATCAGTGTAATTGTTTTTTATGTTGAGTACAAATATTCTGTTCTCTTTCCATCTGTGAGGGAAAATCAACACATACAATTGAAAAATTGACATGCATATTTAGTGCAGGTTTATTATATTATTAATATATGATTAATACAAATAATAATTATTGTTATTAATGGGTTTTTTTTGTATAAATCAATATAGTTCCTATGCAGTATTTTTATAAATTGCTGAGAAGACATAATACGGTGCGTGTCAGGCTTGGTTTATTATTTTATTAATTATCAATATATTATTAATTAATTATTATATTTTATACATTTATTGTATAAATCAATAGATAGTTCCTATGCAATATTTTTATGGGTTGCTGGCAATACATTTCAGGTGTTCAATATACTGCGTGTCAGTCTTGAAAATAAAAATAGCTGCTGGAAAAAGTGCTTAAAAGTCCTTGATTTTCATTAGGCGGTGTCTGTATAAACCCTGTATTTATTTTATTTACTAATATAATGTTCATTGTCAGTTCACATTCATTAAAGTGAAGCTGTATAAGTCAGTTGTAGCTGTAAGGAGTGCCTCAGGGCTCTGTTCTAGGACCGCTTTATTTCTCCACAGTCTGGTGTCTGCCCTTGTGCTGATGCACTGTAGCGAGTGTTGTGACGGCTATAGTGATGTTGTGTTTGTATCTATATGTATAAGGGTTGTGTAGTGAGGGCAGATCTGCAGTGTGTGTTTTGATCACTCTGTATATCTGTGTGTGGTGTGCGTGACTCGTTCAGTACTGCAGTAAAAACACACACACTATAATTACACACATTCCTCTGTTAACCTTCAACTCCGGCCGATCTTCCCCATAGTCAGCCTTTAGAGGAGCCTCCGAACACACCAAACACACTCACTCATATATTCCAATTGTACGCCATTTAAATATCTGTGTCCTTACAGCGAGAATCTAAACCAGGGGTGTCAAACTCAATTCCTGAAGGGCCGAAGCCCTGCACAGTTTAGTTCCAACCCTGCTCCGACACACTTACCTGTAGGTTTCAAACAAGCCTGAAGGACTCAATTAGTTTGATCTGGTGTGTTTAATTAGGGTTGGAACTAAACTGTGCAGAGCTGCGGCCCTCCAGGAACTGAGTTTGACACCTGTGATCTAACCATCATTATCTAAAGGAGACCCCTCTGTTATAGTCTGAACACACAGCGCTGATTAACCAGCACAGATAATGTCCACTGATTAACTAATTAAGTTAAGCCCAGCTCATGCGTAACTGTGTGTACAGACGTCATCCCCCTAAACCTGCTGTTGCATTATTTACTAGTCAAACAGCAGAGCTACTGCGCTGATTATGTAGCACTCACTTGTGTAGTTCACTCATTCATTTTCTTTTCAGCTTAGTCCCTTTATTAATCTGGGGTCACCACAGCGGAATGAACCACCAACTATTCCAGCATATGTTTTACACAGTGGATGCCCTTCCAGCTGCAACTCATCTATGGGAAACACCCATACACACACATTCATACACTACGGCCAGTTTAGCCTACCCAATTCCCCTATAGCACATGTGTTTGGACTGTGGGGGAAACCGGAGCACCCAGAGGAAACCCACACCAACACAGGGAGAACATGCAAACTCCACACAGAAACACAAACTGAGCCAGCCGAGGCTTGAACCAGTGACCTTGACCGTGTTGCCCGCTTGTGTAGTGTATGTCCATTTAGCTTGTTTTGCCCATGCTGAAGTCATCAGAGGTTTAGAGGTGATCAGGACAGGTAAATCAGGAAAGGTAAACAGGATTAAATTGGTGTGATCCGTGACTCTTCTGCTAACCCTTCAACTCTTGCTAGCATGCACATTTATCCAAGTAGAAGCTAAAGATGGTGTGTTCTGCTTTTCTGTCCTCCACCAGGTCTAGCAGGGTTTATTGCATGTTTTATATCTGAGCTGGTGTCAGTAGTCAGGCTTGTTTGGGGTTTTGAATCTCGTTTGTTTTTGTTTTTTATTATAGAAACACTGCCGGGGAGTAAGTAGCACTGACTAAGTAGTGTAGTTCAGTTTAGCGGATGATAAAGTGGTATTTTTTAATTGCGGTTTTAATTTTGAGTGGAAGTCAGTATGTTAGTTTGATGTTTCTCAACTGAAAAATGCAGAGAGGGTGGGGCATAGAGTAGCTCCTCCCCTTTAAATAAAATGGCTAATCGCTCTGTCAGTGAGAGAGCTAAGCCAATGAGAAGAAGGGGGCGGGGCATGTCAGATAATAGAGAGGATTTGATTGGTCAGAAGATATGATGAGAAACTGAAGTATGAGAAGACGTCACAGAAATTGTTGATCCATTTGGGCGGAAGTGACAAACTACAAGCTTCATATGTTTATATTAGTTTTATATTTGCTAAACATGAATTTGGTCAGACCCTAACCCTTAGACCCTAACACAGCTGTGTCCTGTTTTGCTCCAGGAAGGCCACCTTCAGCTTAAGCTCTATTTAAACTCTATTTAAATGGTATTGGGTGCACCAGGCGTAGGTTTGAGTATCTTACCCCCTAAACTTTCATCAGGAGTCTTAAATGCAGATGATCTTACCTGATGATGTTACCTGAGATTCCTGCACTCTACTCCCACAACTCTGAAAGTCAAATCCTGGACTTACACCCTAAACTCCAGGGTTGTCCAGTCCTGCTCCTGGAGTCCCTGCTCCAACCAGCTAATCAGAGTCTTGGCATTCGCTTTAAGAAGCAGATCACCTGGAGTAGGACTGGCCAGACTTACCTGACCTCAACCCTATGATACTAAACACTACATAACATCTGGGGTCTCAAATGCCAAAATCACCAAGTTGATGTGGATTTAAGGAGTAACTTGAGGTCATTGCACCTTCCTTTCTCTATATGTCTAACCTTACATTCTCATCCAGGGCCGTCTAATCTTGCTCTTGGAAAGGTACCTTCTTATTAAATGCACTTGAACCAGCTAGTCAAGGTTTTTAACTAGCTTTTAACTTTCCAGCACATGTGTTGGAGTGCTTTGGAGCACACTGGCTAATTGATATCCTTAAAGTGAACAGACTGAGACTAACATTACATTTCATAATGTGCAGTCAGATCATTAAATGCATTGCTTTTCTGTCTGTTGTAGTTGTGGATGCTCACGGTAAACCTTCATCTCCAGTTCCAGTGGCGGCGACTGCTGTACGAAGGAGGAAAGAGCGTCCGCAGGTGCTGAATCTCACTGAGGTGCACGTGACTGGGGTACTGCGGCCTCGAGCGGGTCGATTAGACAGTCCCAGTAACCGCTACGCTGGAGACTGGAGCGGATGTCAGGACTCATACCTGCAGCAGACCAGCCTGGAGGAGGCCGACTATGATGATGTTCCCAGCGAAGAGCCTCTAAACACAGGCCAGGAGGACCTACCGAAGAGTTCTGCAGATGAAGAAGAGTTTCCTGAGGTGGAGGAGGCAGCGGAGAGGGTTGAGGAAATGCAGATTGAGGAGGAGGAAGATGAGAGTGATGAAGATGAGACGGGAGGATTAGACAGGCTACAAATAGAGGAACCGCTGTCTATTAGCTCCTGCGACGAGATCCTGCCAGATCCCATGGAGCACCAACCCAAAGAGCACACTTACCAGGCCTACATGAAGATCCAGGAGATCAGCCCAGTACTAAGCAATAGAGTCAACCTGCGGGATCTGCAGGAGAGCATCGACACACTTATCGGCAACCTGGAGCGGGAACTTAACAAGAACAAGCTCAACCTAGGGTACTGACTCTTTTGCAGGACGGTCGATATGTGGTGGTGCAGCCCTGGAGACATGGAACGTTCTTGCTCCTATGGGATGCATGTACAAGAAGACATTCCTCACATCTGATTTGTGTTTTTGTTTGTCTCCTGGTCTGTGTTGTTGATCTCTTGTTTTTCTTCTTATGAGAAGAAGTCATTGAACCCCTAGGGGTGCACCAGGTGCCTTCATTGTGTTAAGGTGGTGCTTACGACAGAGAGAGCTTTTTACTTTCTACGGAGGTACATAACATTATAAACCAATGCACTTACGGGGCCTGCCGTTAGAGGTACGGCTCGTTCAGGTACAGGCGTGAAGCCTTACAGTGGGAGAACTCGGTACTACAGATAGATCCCGGGTTATTAACCAGGATTACTCAATACTGCTCAATAAGATCTGGCTTGAACCAGGTTCAACCCTGTAAACAGACTTGAACCAGCTCATCAAGGGCTTAGGATTTACTTCAAGAAGTAGATCAAGATTGAGTACCCTGCTGTAAACCCAACACTATGAATCTAAACTTCATTTCAGTCATCTAAAATGCAGATTACCTTACAGAGTGGATGATACTTTGAGATTCCAGATGTCTAAACTTTAATTATATACCTTTATTCTGAACTAACCCTCACCCCCTAATCCTGTCCTGCTCCAGGAAGGCCAACTTCAGCTCTGTTTAAACACACTGTAACTAGCAATCAAGGTCTTGAGTTCACCAGGAGTGGGATTGAGTACCTTTCTCCCAAACTTTCCTCAGGAGTCTCAAATGCAGGTGATCTAGTTAGGTGGGGTTACCTGATAGTTTGAGAATCCTGTATTCTGCAGTGTTTAAAATTCTGAAAGTTATGTCCTAAACTTACACCCTAACTGTCCAGTCCTGCTCCTGAAAAGCTCTGGCCGGTAGTAACAGATCAAAACTCCCTATTTTTTAATCTTTTAATTCCTAAAGGCCCCATACTTCAAACAAAAACAAACTGAATCATCATTTCAAACAAAGCAGGCTGAAACAAAGCAGGTTCTTTTAGAGTTTATGCAGTTTGATACAACTCACCAAAGCAAGGCCAGCTTCAGCTCCACCTAAACACACTAGATTAAACTAGATAATCAAGATCTTGGTTCACCAGGAGTGGGACTGAGTACCTTACCCCCTAATCCTTCAGAACCCTCGAAAGCAGATGATCTAGTTCAGAGGTGGCCAAACTTGGTCTTGGAGGTCTGGCGTTCTGCTGCTCCTACCCTGATTAGACACACATGAACTAGCTAATCAAGGTCTTAAGCTGTGTGATAAACATTCTGGCAGGCGTGTTGAAGCAAGTTGGAGCTAAACTCTGCAGGACACCGGCCCTGCAGGACCGAGTTTGGACTCCCTAAATCTAGTTAGATGGTGTTATCTGGTAGTTTTGAGATTCCTGCATTCCACTCCATAAACTCTGAACTACTCTTAAACCAGCAAATCTAAGTCCTATGGCAGGGGTGTCAAACTCAATTCCTTGAGGGCCCTGCACAGTTTAGTTCCAACCCTAATTAAACACACCTGATCAAACTAATTGAGTCCTTCAAGCTTTTTTGAAACCTACAGGTAAGTGCGTTGGAGCAGGGTTGGAACTAAATTGTGCAGGGCCCTCGAGGAATTGAGTTTGATACCCTTTTGGAACTGAGTTTGACACCTGTGTCCTATGTTAAAGATGAGGTATATCACCACTGAGTACCAAACATCACAACCCCACCCCTACACCAGGGCTCCTGAGTACAGATGATCTAGTAAGGGTGATATTGGTCAGTAGTTCCAGATCCCAGTACTCTCTTATCTAAAGAAAACATTTATTTCACTAACCCTTAGACCCTAACACAGTTGTGTCCTGTTTTGCTCCAGGAAGGCCACCTTCAGCTTAAGCTCTATTTAAACTCTATTTAAATGGTATTGGGTGCACCAGGCGTAGGGTTGAGTATCTTACCCCCTAAACTTTCATCAGGAGTCTCAAATGCAGATGATCTTACCTGATGATGTTACCTGAGATTCCTGCACTCTACTCCCACAACTCTAAAAGTCAAATACTGAACTTACACCCTAAACTCCAGGGTTGTCCAGTCCTGCTCCTGGAGTCCCTGCTCCAACCAGCTAATCAGAGTCTTGGCATTCGCTTTAAGAAGCAGATCACCTGGAGTAGGACTGGCCAGACTTACCTGACCTCAACCCTATGATACTAAACACTACATAACATCTGGGGTCTCAAATGCCAAAATCACCAAGTTGATGTGGATTTAAGGAGTAACTTGAGGTCATTGCACCTTCCTTTCTCTATATGTCTAACCTTACATTCTCATCCAGGGTCGTCTAATCTTGCTCTTGGAAAGGTACCTTCTTATTAAATGCACTTGAACCAGCTAGTCAAGGTTTTTAACTAGCTTTTAACTTTCCAGCACATGTGTTGGAGTGCTTTTGCATGCATGTGGCTTTCTAAGAGCATTTTCAGGCACCCGAGCCCATTTCCAATCGGGGAGCGACTGATGCTGCGGGTCTAGTTGATTTCGGTCTCATGAGATTAAAACAGCAACTGTTTGAGTTTTATCCTTCTCACTGTAAAAATACTTTAAACGTCCCCTAAACAAGCTACGGACATAGTAGTAAATAGTAAAATAAATATTTAATTCTAGCTAGGCAGAACTTTAACAGAAGAAAATACATTTTTAAATTAAACATAATTAAAATCGCAGACTCTTTTTGGCTTTGGAACGGGTGCACCCTAAACACGCTGAATCCAGTCAAAATTAAAAACGCAATCGAAATGTTGTCACCATGGCAACACAATGACATCATTAGATGCACAATTGCATCATTCTCAGCAGTCCAGGGATTCAAGCTCATCAGTATTTAACAGACATGCGTATGTGTATGTATGAGTATAGTCGGGATATGTGTTTTCCATGACACACTTCAGTTTGTGCGTATTTAATTGTTCATCAGCTACCTTGTAGTATTCGGCCTGTAGATCAGCCTTGAGTATATGTATGTGTATATTGTTGGATCTATATAATTATATAACCCATAGTCACAGAATGGGGAGGGATTTGGGGGTATTTTATGGTCACGTGCAGGAAATTTGAGCGTTGCATGGTCAAAAGCTTTACGGTCAAAAAATAATAAAGTGTTTTTCTCAGAGTCTCCCACAGCGGGACGTATTTATGCGTGTAGATAGAGATTATTTTAATTACAGTGAATTTCTGTTGTGTTCCATTTGGCAGCTGCTCGCCTCGATGGCTCGGTTGTAGATGTTGCAGGTCTTGTGAATGTTAAGACTCGACCTTTACACGAGCTGTTGGTTTCTGATCGTGCTTCTCCACAGCTGAAATACTCTAGTCTGTTGTGTGAAAGAGCTAAAGATTTGATATATAGAGAGAGAAAGCTAAAATATTTTGGATTACGATAGATCTATATTTTGTGTTCTCAGCTGTTTCCCCAAATCACTAAATGCAGTGAATATAAGGAAGGTTTGTTCTTGTTCTGTTTCCGGACGGTCACGCTAGATTTAAACAGCATGAATAATCATCATGAGCAACAGCACTGTTATGCATTAAGAAATGTGTCAACATTTAACTGATTTCAATATGCATGCTTCTGAAATGTGTAATGATGCATATTTATAGTGACCAGTCAGGTGTTTAATCTGGTCTCCTGATCCAGGGTCAGGGTGAGCTGCTTTGATCAAACATTCCCCTGTTTGTTTATTTGTTTGTTTGTTTGTTTGTTTGTTTGTTTTGCTGCGGTTTTGTAAAAGTGACGCTGAGATGAACGTATGACTAAAGCAGATCTTCTTTGTACTGATATTGAGATCACATTAAAGTGTATGTGTCATGCAGCCCTGCAGACTGGCCTGTTCTTCTCCAAATGTCTGGATGTATATTTAGCGCTGTATATTTGCAGATGAGCACCGTCAGCTACAATGAGTCACGTTTTTCTCTTGCGGATTCATGTTTCGCTTGCTAGCGTTCCTGTAATTCGTCACTGGAACATTAGCTGGTGATCTGTGATGCATCAACGGCAGGCTGAAATATCAGGTGAGGCTGCCAAAACTCATTTCTGCCACATGCATTTGCCCACATAGAAATCTGATCATATATGCAAATCACATACTTGACATACAACTTCATGTTTGGATTTCACATATAAGACATTCATATGAAAATTTGAAAGAATGGATGCTTACATATATGTTTTTAAGAATTGGTATTACTAATATGTACACACACTCACCGGCCACTTTATTAGGTACACCTTACTAGTACCAGGTTAAACCCCATTTGCCTTCAGATCTGCCTTAATCCTTCATGGCGTAGATTCAACAAGCTACTGGAAATATTCCTCAGAGATTTTGCTCCATATTGTCATGATAGCATCACACAGTTGCTGCAGATTTGTCGGCTGCACATCCATGATGCCAATCTCCCGTTCCTGTTCTTAGCTGACAGGAGCGGCACCCGGTGTGCTCTTCTGCTGCTGTAGCCCATCTGCCTCAAGGTTGGACGTGTTGTGTGTTCAGAGATGCTCTTCTGCAGAGCTCGGTTGTAGCGAGTGCTTATTTGAGTTACTGTTGCCTTTCTATCAGCTGGAACCAGTCTGGCCATTCTCCTCTGACCTCTGGCCTCATCAACAAGGCATTTGCACCCACAGAACTGCCGCTCACTGGATATTTCCTCTTTGTCGGAGCATTCTCTGTAAACCCTAGAGATGGTTGTGCGTGAAAATCCCAGTAGATCAGCAGTTTCTGAAATACTCAGAGCAGCCCGTCTTGCAGCAGCAACCATGCCACGTTCAGAGTCTCTTAAATCCCCTTTCTTCCCCATTCTGATGCTCGCTCTGAACTGCAGCAGATCCTCTTGACCATGTCTAAATGCCAAAATGCAGTGAGCTGCTGCCATGTGATTGGCTGATTAGACATAACGAGCAGTTGGACAGGTGTACCTAATAAAGTGGCCGGTAATTGTGTGTGTTTGTATATATATATATATATATGTGTGTGTCTCAAAATATACAGTATGTTGCATATATTTTATATATATGGGACTGTTTTATTTTATTTAAGTGAAATCTAAATATTAATTAATTGTGCACTCAAATGACGAATGCTTGAGCTGAAAATGAGCTGAAACAACACAATTCTTGAGCTGTTTGGTGGATAACTGGATTGTTTTATGCTCAGTTCACTTAAATTTGTAGAAACTAAAAAGTTAATTCCTTCATGGTGTCTCAACACAAATATATTGTGTAGATTGCAGTATTTATTAGTGTATGTATATGTAATTAGCCTATATTTCAGTGTGTCAGATGTCTACATGTGTGATGAGGAGATTTAAATGATGCTCTTCAGATATTCTGATAACTCTTACAGGAGAGTGTGTGATACTCTGGTTTTCCTGCAGGTATGCTGTGGATAAATGTGATTGTGAGCTGATTTCTGCACACCTGCGTTCTCTGATAAACATCCCGAGCGTCTGTCAACATTTGGCTGAACTTCACACGCCTGATTGGCTGAATCACGTCCCAGAGACCCTTTTGATGTCAAACGGAGCCTTCTGATTGGCTGTCCTGTAGAGATGACCTTTGATTGGCCGCCACTTCATAATCATCAGGCATTAAGAGCGTTTATACTGTAAAATCAGGCCCATTTCTGCTGGTGAGAGCTGTAAAATTACACGTCTGTCAGAGCAGCAGACGGAGCTTGAAGGAGAAGAGCTTTATCAGGGCTGAAACTGGGCCAGAGTTACTCAAAACTGCCTTTGTTTAGGCAACGGGAAGAGATTAAAGACAGAAAGCGTGGAGATAGACGTCTAATGCAGCTGGATTAAACAGAAGATGTGATTGTTTCCTTCGTGAACTGATGTGCAGCCTCATTCAAACAGGCAGAAAGCAAGATTTGAGCATGAGCTATTGTGAGTTAACGCACTAATATAGGGTGTATGCATTGGGACTTTTCATTTTCAGCCAGCTCAAGCCCCAGTTAGCAAAGAATTCTGGCCCAGATTTGGCATAAAGCTGGCACAGCAGGCGTTCATCCGACACTGGCTCACAGCATGTGGGCCAAACATGGCCCTGGTTTGGCAGAGGTGGCATTGTCTTTAAGGCGACACACAATATTTGGCCCCGATGTGAATAATTGATATGTGGGCCATGTAAGTTTCTCCTGTCTTGACCCACGTTAAAAATACATTCTTATTATTTGAAAATAAGTGAAGTTTATTTATAAACTAATTTCGAGAGGATCACGAAATTAGAGGATCACAACCGCCTGTACCCCCCCCCCCCCCCAACAGCACTTTCTCTTCTTTCAAACAGGCGACACGGTGGCCAGTGATTAGCGCTGTTGCCTCACAGCAAGAATGCCCCTGGTTTAATTCCCTTCCAAACCAGTTGACATTTCTGCGCGGAGTTTTGCTCGTTCTCCCCGTGCTCGTGTGGGTTTTCCCCGGGTCCTCCGGTTTCCTCCAACAGTTCAAAAACAAGCACCCGAAACAGTTCATCCAAATATCTTAAGCCAAACTCTGAGTACACCTTCAGCATCCATATCTGACACTTAGCTACAATAAGCAGGAGGGGGAGTCATCGAGATCTACCTGAGCTCAAACTCCCCTGCAACAGGAGGGAGCCCAGGGCTCGAGGATCTCATAAGCTCAAAGCTCTCTCCAGGGACAGCACGCCAAACAAGCTTTATTATCAAGTGTCAACTCTTAAAATAAGAAAAAAATCGACCAATCAGGCTGCTTCGAGCAAGCACACCCATAGCACACCTAAAGCGCAATGCTTCATGGGTTTATCGATTTCATTACAGTCGTGACACACCAACATATCTAGCCCATTTCAGGCTCAGTTATGGGTCATTACCTTGGCTGAGACTTGGTCTAGAAATGACCCGTGTTTGGCCCTGGTCTGGAAGCTGGATCTAGTCATGTACTGTAATTCACTGCAGAGTTTGGGCCAAGCAAAAGCTGATAGTGTGGGCCAGAGCTGAGCCAGAGATAGTTTGCTATGTGGGATACGTCATCTTTTTCATTAAGACTGAACACAGACTGAATATTTTTTTTCTAATTTGGAGTAAATGGATTGAGTATATTTCACCAATGTGCCCGGATTATTCTTCAATTGTCACTTTTAAAAATAATATCACGTGTCTAAATATGAGTATTTTTTTCTTCTTTAAATGAAATCTTCTAAAGGATTTATAGCTTCTACTGTTTATAGCTGTTGTTGTTGTTAAAGGGAAGAAAATACTTGTGCAAGATCTGTAAGCCTCTTTCTGTATGAGAGATTATGTAAATTATATATGTAAAAAGTGAATCTGAGAAGGAATTACCTGTTGGAAAATGGCTGGGCAAACCTGTTTGAAAACAGTAATTATATCTGACACACCAACATATCTGGCCCAGTTCAGTCTCAGTTATGGGTTATTAACTTGTCTGAGACTTGGCCCAGATATGACCTGTGTTTGGCCTTTGTCCTGAAGCTAGACTTGGTCCAGTCATGTGGTGTAATTCACTGCCGTGTTTGGGCCAAGCAAAAGCTGATTGTGTGGGCCAGAGCTGAGCCAAAGATAGTTTGCTATGTGGGGCACTTCCAGTGTAGTCTATTGCAATGGCAGTAAAAGTCACACCGTTTAAGATCTGGGCTGCGTTCCTATTCACATGCTTCTACTACAGCTTATAAGTGTGTACTTTATCTGGTTTGAGTGTGCAAGCTTTGGGACTACTTCCTCATTATCGGAGCCTTCTGCTGCTTAGTTATGAGCCCTGTCGATCATCACACATCATCCTCAATTCTGTCATACTTTATTTCCTACATTATTGTAGAATCAGGTTAATCTGCCGTTTACGAGCCTCTCACACAGGGAAATCTCCTCAGGTGTTTGGACATCTGAATGCAGAATTATCCGTCTTTATAGGAGTTCACACTGGTATTTTTGTACAGCTGATGAGTTTATTCTTTGTTGTTTCTCATTAGAGAGAAAAGAGGATTTATTTACAAATATTCCAGCTTTGCACTTAAATCTAATTTGTATCATCACACATACACTAGTGTCAGTGTAGTTGATCAGTTCCCCTATAGCGCATGTGTTTGGACTGTGGGGGAAACCGGAGCACCCGGAGGAAACCCACACCAACACGGGGAGAACATGCAAACTCCACACAGAAACACCAACTGACCCAGCCGAGACTCGAACCAGAGACCTTCTTGCTGTGAGGCATTAGCGCTAGCCACTGAGCCACCGTGCTGCCCTTAAAAATATCATATTATTAAATATGTTTTAAGTAATTTGTTAGAAAATTAATGTTTTTATCACATGCTACTGCATTACCCCCAACACTGCTGATTTGAGACTTTTATCCTTTTTATATGGATGCCATATACAATACCACATGGATAAACAGCATGCTTCATCAGTATTGTAAGTTCTCCTGTAAGGTATAAAGGTCACTAGTGAATTCTTGTCACATATGCTCTAGAAAAAGAGATGGACTGAATCAATATTGTGTGTGTGTGTGTGTGTGTGTGTGTGTGTGTGTGTGTGTGTGTCAGTATGAGCTGTTATAGATGATCCGTCTGTGGTGAAGTGCTGAATTAAGAGCGTGTTTGATTACGCCGCGGAGGGGAAATGAAGACGAAGTAACCTGAGAAGGAATCGTCTTCAAGGTCAGAACAGAAACACTCCCTACACTGCAAACAATTCTGTTCTTACGCAGAGATTATGTCTTATTTATAGTCCAAATTTATCAAAATTATTAAATCGAGAAGCATTTAGAGAAGCACAAAATAAAGTGTTTTCAGAAATAAATGAGGAGAGTTTCTCCTTAACGAGCAGGATAATCTGCCAATGTGGTGAACAGAATAATCTTGTTAAATCTAAAACTATTATTCTGCTTCCCCCAATGTCGGATTCTTCTGCTTGTTTTTGTGTAAAACTCTCTTCTTTTTGACTCAATATTTCTGAAAGCAGCACTATATTTCTGCTTGTTTAGTAAAATTCTTCTTGATTTAAAAATTTGTAGGAGTTTGGAGTGTTGGAACAATTCGGTTTTCGTCTGGGCTGTGGTACACTGGACCAGCTCTATACCCTCACTAGGGTGCTCGAGGGTTCATGGGAGTATGCCCAACCAGTCCACATGTGTTTAGTGGACTTGGAGAAGGCATTCGACCGTGTCCCTCGTGGCATTCTGTGGAGGGTGCTCGGGGAGTATGGGGTCAGAGGCGATCTGTTGAGGGCCGTCTTGGCCCTGTATGAACAGAGTAGGAGTCTGGTTCGCATTGCCGGCAATAAGTCAGACTTGTTTCCAGTGCATGATGGACTCCAGCAGGGCTGCCCCTTGTCACCAATTCTGTTCATCATTTTTATGGACAGAATTTTAAGGTGCATTCTTGGGCTGGAAAATGTTCGGTTCAGGAACCACAGGATTTAATCTCTGTTATTCGCAGATGATGTTGTTCTGTTGGCTTCATCAGACATGGACCTTCAGCATGCAATGGGGCGGTTTGCTGCCGAGTGTGACACAGCTGAGATGAGAATTAGCACCTCCGAGTCCGAAGCCATGGTGCTCCACTGGAAAAAGGTGGTTTGCCATCTCCAGGTTGCAGGAAAGTTCTGACCCCAGGTGGAGGAGTTCAAGTATCTCTGGGTTTTGTTCAGGAGTGAGGGAAGGATGGAACATGAGATTGACAGGCGGATTGGTGCAGCGGCAAAAAGGAGCCGAAAGGCAAAGCTCTCGATTTACCGGTCAATCTACACTCCTCCTCTCACCTTTGGGTCAAGACTGAAAGAACAATATCTCGGATACAAGCGGCCGAAATGAGTTTCCTTCACAGGGCGCACTCTTATAGATAGTGGCTCTGTCACCCGGGAGGAGCTCAGAGTAGAGCCGCTGCTCCTCCACATCCAGAGAAGTCAGCTGAGGGGGCTCGGGCATCTGTTTCTGATGCCCCCTGGACGCCACCCTAGGGAGGTGATCCAGCCATGTCCCACCAAGAGGAGGCCTCGGGGAAGACCCAGGACACGCTGGAGGGACTATGTCTCTTGGCTGGATTAGGAACGCCTCAGGATCCCCCCGGAGGAGCTGGACTGGAGGAAGAGTCTCGGGAGAGGGAAGTCTGGAGTTCTGTCCTGAGACTGCTGCCCCCGCGACCCGGCCCCGGATCAGCAGATGAAAATGAATGAATGAAATTAATAAATAGATGTTTGGACCAGAAACAAGACAAAAACTCAATTTTTGCAGTAACTTTCATATTAGAAACAAACATGTACTACAGAAGTCAAAGGCTTCATTGAGTTCAACAGAGGAAAGAAACTCAGACATGATGAATAAATGATGGCAGAATTGATATTTTTGTGTGAACTGTGTCTTTAATGGCAGAAGGCATGTGTGTGTGTGTGTGTGTGTGTGTGTGTGTGTGTGTGTGTGTGTGTGTGTGTGTGTGTGTTTATGGTGTGTTTATGGTGTTACAGGTCTGCTGTGTCTCGTTCTGGATGTTCATGTCCTTCAGAATGAGCTTCTCCAGAGTCAGAAACTGCTGGTATTCCTTCAGTGTTTCCGCGTTCACTTCCTCTTCCTGTTTTGGAGGAGTCACCAGCTCCTGATGAACAGCAGATCACATCAACAGGTTCAGCATTTTACAGTATATAATGCAGAATAAACTTGCTTGTGCTTTACTGAAGTCATTTATGAGTACATGAATCTAGTGAGCACCGGGGGGTGGGTGTTGGGGGGGAGGGAAAGGCGCCTCGTCAACTCTGATATCATTGACTGTTATTTTCGATTCTGATATCCACGACTGTTATCATCAATTGTGATATTGTTGACTGTCATCATCGATTCGGATATCATTGACTGTTAGCGTCAACTCTTATAACATCAACTGTTTTTGTAGACACTGATATCATCAACTGTTATCATCAACTCTGTTATTATCAATTATTATTGTTAACTCTGATTTTCGACTAATATCGTCTACTTTATGTCAACGTTTTTATGCTCAACTGTTATCATCGACTCTGATATCGTGACTTGTTATCAACATATATTATCGCCAGCTCTAATATTATCAAATCTGTTATTGTCGACCCTGATATTGTTGACTGTTGTCGCCATCTGTTATCGTCAACTCTGATATCGTCAAATGTTATTGGCAACTTTGTTACTGTCTACTTTTTTATTCTCGACTTTATTATCGTCGACTCTGATATTGTCAAATCTGTTATCCTCGTTATTGTTCTCAATAATCATAGACTCTGTTGTTGTCAACTCTGTTGTCATCGACTGTTATTGTCAACTTTGTTATTGTCAACTTTGTTATCGTCAGCTTAGATATTCGACTTTAATATTGTTGTTATTGTCGATTCTGATATCAGTGACTGTTTTTGTCAACTCTGATAAAGTTGACTGTTTTTGTCGACTCATATCATCAATCCTTATTGTCAACTCGGATATTAACTGTTATCGTCAACTCTGATATCGTCAATGCAGATATTGTCAACTCTGATACTGTCAACTTTAT